TGGCTATCAACTTCTGAAAATCAGCCAATGAACACCCTGTGAATTACAAAGGCCATTGTACATATGTTGTCATAAGTCAGGTCACCGCGATGGTAGCTGCGGTGGCTACATAATCTGGTGTCAATTTGGGGCTTGAGAGGATTAAGCGTGAAGGGATGGAGTCTAGTCTGTCAATTGGGTCATAGCCAATGAGAGGTCTGTGTGGACATGGCCTTCTCCTGAGAATTCTGGGGACTCTTGTATTTCCTCCTTGGAAGTGGGAGACACTTTCTCTCTCTGCTCCCTCCCTTGGAGACTCTCTCCTGACAATGGTCACTCCTGAGAGAAGCTCTACTGACAAGACACATGGCACTACACTGATAGACCCCATGCCCTGGGAACTGGAGAAGCCACACGGAGACCCCTGCCAGCGCTGGGATGCTTACAATGCCACTGGATCCAAAGACTTTCTACCCACTGGCCTGTGATCATCCTGCATCCAACTTCATTGCATGTGTTTCATGAGTCTGAAGAGGACTTTATAGATGGGTATGAGACATATGGGCTAAAATTAGACTTACGGGCTTGGATTGGACTGAGTTGGGATGCTTTCGTAATGTACAGTTACTCTTCATATAAAATTCTTGCTTATAGACATATGCGTTTCTGTGGATTTGTTTCTCTGGTTTACCTGGACTAACATGGTGGTTAAGAACAACATGCATATCATCTCTTTTCTTAATGGTGCTCTTCTTCTCCTGAGACTTCGTTTTGCCCCTAAGACCAGAGTCCCAACACTATGTGGCAGTAGACGGACTGGCCTGATGAGTTGGCAAGAGCTTGGCCTTTAAGTATTGCTCCCTGTACTGGGGACCAGCTCAGTCCCTCTGGTAGCCCTCAAGGTCAGGAAGAGTGTGCCCCAGAGAGGAACCATCCTTGTCAGCCAAGTTCCACTCCTCACAGAGAGCTGGATTGAGTGATGGAGTTCATGTGAGCTACAAAAGTGAGCAAGAAAGCAAAATATGTTTTCTTTTTAATACCCGTGATATAATACTATCACATAAGTGATGGGCTGCTAGCCAAAAGGTCAGTAGTTCAAACCCACCTTCCTCTCTGCTGGAGAAAGAGGTTATCTGCTCTTATAAAGATTTATAGCCTCAGAAGCAGCATGTAGAAGTGATTCAATGGTAGTAGGTAAATAGTAAGTTACCCTTAGTAGACATTACAACACACACACACACACACACACACACACAAAAGAAACAAATCCTAAAACTCTCATCACATTACCATTCTTGCATTGACTAATATTCATTGGGGGACACCTAATATTAATGGGTAATATTTTTACGTAGCCCCACATCAATCAACTCATTTAATTTACACGCCAGTTCCCTTAGCAGACTTCATTATTGTCCCCACTTTATAGATAAGAAAAGTAGTTTCCATAACATTACACAGCTAGCAAACTGCAGATCCAGGGTTAGAATTCAGGTCAGCTGGCTCCTGAGCCTGCGCCTTCAAGCCCCAGTGCTTTACATGAATATAAACTTATCATTGAGAGAGAGCCACACTCTGAGTTCCAGGGCTAGAGAAGGTGGAGTTGGTCGGCATCACAGGGTATCTTTGCAAAAGGAAACACAAGCTGATGACCAAATAGGCCTCGGTGGGGCTTGGGGTTTATTATGAGAACCGTGCTGTTGGAGGCATTAGGACCTGCTCACACAGTGAGAGGGGAGTAACCACACCTTCCTTGTCGGATGACAAAGCTTCATACATTCCTGCATCAAATAGTCCATCTCTATTGGAAACCCTATTCGCCAGCTGTGGTAGTTACATAACCTCATGTCAACTTGAGGATATTAAGAGTGTAGGGGTCAAGTCTAGCCTGTTAATTAAGTTACAGCCTGATGATGCTTCCTTGTAAGTGTGGCCTTCTCATGAGGATTCTGGGAACTTCCTCTCCTTCCCCTGGGAGGTGGGCCACAACCACTCTAAGCCTCACCTTTTCCAGAGGAGCCACACTTAGAGCTGGGGTAGCTAGCTCTAAGACGCTTCCACCACCACTGGATCAACAAGACTGCACACCCACCGGCCTGTGATCGTCCGGCATTTGGCATCATTGCATGTGCTGTGAGCATCTGAAGAGGACTTTATGGACTAGTATTAGACATATGGGCTAATATCAGACCTATGAACTTGATCTGGACTGGGCTGGAATGTTTTCTCAATCTACAATTGCTCTTTGATATAAAACCCTCTCTTAAACACACATGAGGGTCCTTGGATTTGTTTCTCTAGTCTAACCGGAGTAACACACCTCCCAGCCCCAGATCATTGCCTCCTTTATTGGGAAGGTCCACATGGACACTATTAGATTTTTATGGATCAAATGTTAATTCTGTTTCAGATCCCACTATCTCCCCCAAAAGCATTTCTGAAATTCTCTATAAGCCCTTTCTTCCTCTGCTCTTCTGGACAGAAGGGGAGAACTTTGATACTAAAGCTCTTTTTATCAGTTTTCTGTGACTGACTTAAGTCAGAGTAATTATGGTCCCAGATTTACCAAAGGAATATGCCATGAACGTAAAAATGGGAAGAATAAAAGTTGATTCCCAATGGGATAATATGGGGCTCTCTAAGGATCCTTAGAGCCACCATTTTGCTTAATAACTAAAGGCAAAATTCCCAGCATGCTCATTGAGCAGTGGCGTGTAACCATTTTCTCTTCCCCCCATGAAAGGGTCACAAATCAGAATGTTGTATTCTTGTCAGAATGACTGGTTACTGTTTCCCCAAGTACAAGTTCATGTGCAATAACTGACCCCAGAGAAACAGAATGGCCCAGCATAAGAGCTTGTCACATTAAATGATCAGAAAACCATCACTAACTGATAGAAGAGTTGATGGTGCAGAAGTGATTGCAGACACTCCCCATGGAGCTACCGCATGGGCTGTCAGTGGCTGCCAGGCTACCCAGCTTTGGCCTAGAGTTTGATTAGAACAATCCACTGAGGGGAGAAAGAAACGGATGACTTATTCCCTCTACTTCCTATAGCTCTTTGAGTGGAATCGTGATGTTGAGATTCCCAGCCTGACATTTCATTTCCAATACACTTGGTAAAAATTATGTGTTTGGTGATAACTGTGCTTCTGAAAAGTCTGAGCTAAGTTAAATCTGGTTTTAAGTAGACCAGAGAGATTCACAGCTTAAACACATTCTAGAGTGGATCTTCTGATTTTTGTTTTTGCCTGTAAGGGAATGAAAGAAGTTCTTGATGGAGAGAAAGATCACACTGAATTTATGCTATAAAAAATGGGGGTACGTAGGTCTAGAGTCTCATGCATTTACTGGAAGTCGGGTTCACCCTCTCCTCCAGGCTTCCTCTGCTCTCTCATCTGAGCTCACCTAACCAGGGGTCAACCACTTCCAGCCTGTATTGGGCCCACTCCACCTCAGTTAAATTCTATGGATTGCTGTTGGAATCACTGGAGGATAGTGAAGACCAGAGCTGCCGAAGTGGAAAATGTAAATTGCAATCCCATCCTGACCCAACTGGTTCTACTTATGCTGAAAAGAGATGGAGCTTGAAAAGAGAGCTGGTCAGGCCATTCCAGAGGAGCAAGAGTGGGGTGTTTTGTACCTTTGCACCCATGAGGTGTCAGCTCTAAATCTGCTCTGACCATGCAACTGTGTCCATGTGAACTAGAATGAATGGGTTCTCTAAATGTCTCTCCTCTCGCCATTTAGAAATCTAGTGAGAGATACTTAGAAACTTCTGTCTGAAACCTGAGCAGGTTCCATCATGACAAAGCAAAAACAATAAAAGCTCTCTAATAAGGAAAACTATGTTTTATAATATTTTAAGGAAGACATCACTTTAACAACATTTTATGAATGCAGAGTGACTTCTTGGAAGCTATTTGGGCTCTGGTGTTTACCAGCTGTTCCCTGCATCAGGTTGGTTACTTGCTCGGATCCTCAATGTTCTTATCTGTAAAGTGGGGGACTAGGTGTTCTTCCAATGCAATATTGTTGGAAGAAATGCATCTCCTAATTTACATAAGACATACAAAATGTTAAGTCAAGTCAGAGGTCCAAGAAGAAAAAAAGCCTGAATGTTCATATGACTACAAACTATATGCATGTCAAAAGACTATTAACATCAATCTCTAGATGCTGAAATAAAAATTAATTTTTGAGGTTTTGTGTCTGTGTGTCTTTTCAGGTTCCCTCTCACTCTCTCTTGAATTATAAACACTAACGTGCTATTAGAAAACAAATATCTTCAACGAGAGAGAGAGAGAGAGATGAAACATCACGGGTCCAGGGCTCGCATCAAGACTGAGCACATGAAAAAGAGTGATGAGCAGGGAGAGCGCAGAAGGGTGCCGGCGGTTTGGAAGCCTTCCTGTAAACCCTCAGGCTTGGAGGAGCAAACGGTTTCAGAAATGTGGGTTCCGGGGTCAGAAATATCTACCTGGCTTGCCTATCCCAGCGCAGCTCAGCGGGACCAGGCAGGTATCTTGCCAGCTGCAATGCTGAGCATGCCCAGAAAGAGAGGGGCGGTTTTCCCTGCCCAGGTCACATGTGGTATCACCAAATGTGAAGGCAGGTTTGTCTCTGACTGACAGAGTGGCCCAGACTTCTCCAGCAGGAGCATGGGCTGCCCTCCCTCCATTTGCATGTCTAAGTAATTACAACTCATGCAAGTCTCGAACCCATTAGTTCAAACCAGGCCCCAGCGTTTGACTCTGACCTCCTGCAGCAAGCCGGGCCACACGCTGACTCCAGGATGCCTGATTTGTCCTCAAATTATAAGCAGCACAACCTATAAATAGCAACCCTTTTGCTAAGTCCCCCAGGAGGCAGCAGCAGGTTTTCCAGCTTGTATGTATTTTCTTCTTGCTTCCAAAAAAAGCCCAACATGGTCCGCTGAGTTTCCTGCCAGAAGCTCCCCCCCTCCAGGGGTCGGAGGGAGGGCGTATCCAGCTGCCTTCAAAGGGGGAGCCCCACTCACCTGTAGATCCGGTACCTGGTGGTGAAGCCCTGGCGGTAGCGCTCCATGAAGTCGGCATACTCCTGAGCGCGGTGGAAGGGGCCCCGGTCGGTGAGCAGCCAGTCCAGGGGTGGCTGGCCGGCCGAGGAGGCATGCTGCTCCGGCAGCGAGGCGGCAGCCGTGGCCGAGACAGCCAGCACCCAGCCGGGGAGGCCCAGTGCCAGCAGGATTGCCCATGGGGCCGCCGGCCGAAGCCCTCTAGACCGAGTGCCACACTGCCACCTCATGCTTCTCCGGTGCGATTGGTGTCTTCATTCTCTCGCCACGCTCTCCCCTCCGTGCTGCTCCTCCGGGCTCCCGGAACTAGGGAAGGACGAGAGAGAGGTGTCCGTGAGCCCGCTGCACATGCCCCACGGGCCTGTCACCATCTCCATTGGAGAGACAGGGCCCATTTTGTTGACGATGGTCATCACCAAGTTGATCCCGGCGCATGTACAGAGAACTGTCCCTTAGGGGTTTCAAGGCAGTGCCCTTTTGGAAGCCACGCACCCCAGGTGTCTCTGGGTGGGCCCAAACCACCCACTTTTCGCTGTCTATCAGGGGAATGCTTCCCAAGTGCCCATTCTGCCCATTCTAGAAATCCTTTATCCTATCAACACGCCTGGTTCTAGGCAGTGAGGTAGGCAGTTTATGTTTACCATGTTCTCTAATTCACAGAACTAGCCTGTGAGCAGATACCAACATCATCATTTTACTGAGGAGAAGCCGTAGGCTTACCAAGAGAAGAATGCTGTTCACGTTCACACAGCTAGAAAGTGGCAAAACTAGAATTTGAAATCAAGTGAGCTGACTCTGAATTCTCCCATAACTCCTATGCCGAGTTACGCATCACCCCCATCTCTCTTCCTCTCTCCACATATTCAATGCCAAACAAAAACACAGTGCCATGAAGTTGATCTGACTCTTAGTGACCCCGGTGTACTGAGCAGAAATGCCTCCCGCTGGTTTCTGAGCTTGTACATCTTTACAGGAGCAGACAGCTTCTTCTTTCACCCACAGAGCAGGGGCTGGTGGGTTTGAACTGCCAGCCTTGTGGTTAGCAGCCCAACACTCAGCCCACTAGCCCACCAGGACTCCTAAAATGTTCAGTATGTTTCATAAATATCTTCATAGACTGTGTGGTGCTTCTGGAAGCTTGATGTAAGTCAAAAAGTGACCTCGTTTTTCAGATGGAAAATTGCTGGGCAGAGAAGTAGTGAATCCCTCTTCTTCTACAAAGCTGAGTATCCTTGGGCGAATCCCTTCCCTTATGAAGTGAGTTTAGTTTCTTCAAAAATAAAGAGGCTTGACTATATAGCATCTAAGGCCCCTCCCAAGTCCCGAGGGTGGTGCAAGTGGCTAACACCGCCAACTGCTAACCAAAACGTTTGAGCCCATTTCACAGCTGGAACAACGGGTAACCTCCTGAGACGCAGAAAAAAAGATAGACGTAACTGATTTCCTCTTGCTTGGATCCACAATCAGTGCTTCTGGAAGTAGTAGTCAAGACATCCCACAACACTGTGTAGTGGGTGAATCTGCTGAACAAGACCTCCAAAAAGTGTTGAAAAGCAAGGATGTGATGCTGAGGACTCAAGGGCACCTAACCAAAGCCCTAACATGGTCAGTCGCCGCATATGCATGTGAGCTGAACATTGAAAAAGGAAGACTGCAGAAGAATCGATGCATTTGAATTATTGTGCTGGTGAAGAATATTGGAAGTACCACGGAATGACAAAGAAGAAAGAGAACTGTCTGCAATAATAGAAGTGAGGATGGTGAGATTCCCTCTCCCGGGCTTTGAGCGTGTTGTCAGGAGAGGCACATCCCTGAAAAGGGAGGCCATGCGCGGGAATGAAGAGGGGCAGCAGAGGAGAGCAGGTCTCTCAACAAGACGCACTGACATAGCGGCTGCAAGAATGGGCTCAACTATAACGAGGCTTCTGAAAATGGCCTAGGAGCAGACAGGGTGTTCTGTTGTACCTAGGGTCACGGGCAGTGGGAGCAGACTCGGTGGCACCTCAGAACAACAGATGAGACTCAGAACAAAAGCTTGGTGGCTGCTCTCTGTCTGAAAAGTCTGCCTTTGAAACCCTTGTGGAGCACAGTTCTACACTGACACACATAACATTCCCAAAAGTAGGAACTGACTCTACGGGAAGTGGTATAGTCCCTTCAAGTTGGGAACATCACTCTTCTCTTTTTTCTTGGAATTAGACTGGAAAGTCAAATTAGAAAAGTCACATGGAAAATTAATAAAGCCTTATCACTATGTCCAGAGAACAGAAGCCACCCAAGCAAGGGATCCATCAAGCCCTCTTTGGGACACAGGAAGGCTCCTCAGGGGCAGTCTGGGCCACACTCTTGTACCCTGGTATCTTAGCTCTGGGAGGTACAGGGCAAGCCTTCAGTTAATTGCCAAAAGTTTGTTGAAAGCTTTAATGAGTGCATACTTGTCCCATCTTCCTTCCAACTGAGCTGGAGAGAAAGTATCAGGAAAGATATACGGCTCCAGCTTTCAAAACTCCGGCGTGCCATGGAACTCATTGCAATAGGTGGTCTGAACCTGACTGGTCCTCTTTCACCTGTGTCAATCGCTGGGCAGATGGGTGGTACCAATTCAGTACGAGGGTTGGCGAGAATTGCATTCACTTCTTCCATCTTTAATTTGTAGTGCATGCTGTCAGAGTCCTGCCTGTTTCCCTTGCCCACGTCTCTTCAGTGTGGGCCAGGATGACGTCTCACCCTTAGCACCTTGAGGATTTTCTCTGGCTGTCAAAGACTAGGGATAGACTCCCCACCTTTGAGGCAAGGATGATCATTTCCTGGCATCTCAGACTTCACAAAAGGAAGACAAGGTGACTTTCAATCTTTTGGGAGGGAATGATTGATCCCCCTGCCCCCCGCCTGCCCAGGCTACTCTGTGGTGCTCCAGTTTAGCAAAACTACCAGACTTCCCTCTTATCATGCAAACCCCGAGGGGGCTGTTCCAAGTGTGGAACCAGCTAGTTTCCTGGATATAACCAGTGGCTGGAGAGATGATTCTGACTCACGGGGCCCCATGGGTGTCCTAGTTGAGCGTCTTTTATTAAGTAGATGGCCATATCTTTCTGCGAAGGGTCTTCTGTGTGGGCTCAAGCTTCCAGCCTTTCCGTTAGGGTATTAATTGTTCGCAGTGCTCAAGGACTCCAGTTATGCTAAATGCTCCCACCCTCAGCATTGGCCTAAGTTGGAGAGATATGGGCTCCACTACCTTTATAGGCTGCTTTTAAAATAAACATCAAGGACTCTATAGAAAATAAATGTCTAGAAAATAATGATGGCAACATATGTACAAATGTGCTTGAAACAATTGATGTATGGATTATTACAAGAGCGGTATGAGCCATTCTATAAAATGTTTTTAAAAGAAATAAAGCCCATCTGCAGACAATGGAACAATCTCCCCACAGAGGACCCACAGGGAAGGGATAAATGACCAGGGTGCAATAAAGCATCGATGAAACACACTATGTGCCTCTGGTTCCTTGAGGCTTCCTCACCGCTCCCCACCCCCGCACACACACACTACCATGACCCCAGAGCTGCTTCTCAATTCACACTAGACCGGAACATGTACACAGGTATAGATAAGAGATGGGATCTCACGACACATAGACTCCAGGAATAGGAGTGGGAATAGTGATACCAGAAGGGCAGGGGGAAGAAGGGGACAGGTAAGGAGAAAGGGGGAACTGATTGCAATGATCGATACATAATCATACACCCCTCGCCAGGGGGAAGAACTACAGAAAACATGGGGGAAGGGAGACAGCGGTGGGTGTGAGAGATGAAAATAATAACATTGCCATAATCTATCAGGGGGTTATATGGGGTGGGGGGGAGAGAAGGAATAAAAAAGAGGAGCTGATACCAAGGGCTCAATAGAAAGTAAATGTCTAGAGAAGAATGAAGGCAACATATGTACAAATTCGCCTGATGCAAGTGGTGATGCATGGATTGTGACAAGAGTTGTCAGGTTCTCCAATAAAATGAACTTTTAATTAAAAAAAGAAAAGAAATAAAATAAAATTACAAAAAGAGTTGCGGCAGCTGCTCCTCAGGAGAGACCCAGAGCATCAGTTTGCAGACCCTCAGAATCACTCCTACATGCCAGCTGAGAAGATCCACCACCTCCTATCTGCCAGGCGAGTCTTAGAATTCCCTCTGTTAATTTCTTTAAGGTTGTCATATAGACATTATCACGATATGTATACATCTTATTGGGACTCAGCGGAGTTCATCTAGGTCTAGGAAGAGGCAGTGGTAGAATGTGGACTCAGCTCTGACTCCATCCTTCCAGAACTTGCCAAAGGACACTTTTGCTGCCTAAGGCACTAGAACAGGCAGCAGGACAGACATTCTCGCTTAATGAACTGTTTGGGAGAGGAGCAGAAAGCAGAATAATGAGGCAGCACCTGCCCTACAAGATCTTGAAACATATTATTACATTTCTAATAATTAAAGTAGGTGATACTGGCACACAAAAGGACAGACTGATCAATGACATAGAATAGATAGCTTGGAAATAAGCCTGATTTCACATAAGAACTTAGCAAATAGGGGTAGAGATGGAAGCATGACAGACAAGCTGGGGAAAGGATGGAATCTTTTATACATTATTTTGGGAAATTAGTTCTAGATGGACTAAAAAGTTAAATTTAAAAAAAAGAAGGAAATTGTCAAGTGTTTTATACTTGAGTATGCATTACTGTCAATCAGGAGGGAGGGGGAGTATTTGAAACTCAAAGACGAACCAGCTTTAACAAGGGAGGAAGGCTAGGCATTTTTTAATATGGATGTGATCTGATGAAGATTCCCAAAATATTTCTCATTCAATCATTCATGTATTCAGTTATTTAAGAAAGACAAAGGAAGACTCCTACATACCACGGAGAAGCCCTGGTGACACAGTAATTAAGCCCTCAGCTGTCAGCCCGAAGCTCGGAGGTTCAAACCAGCCATTCCATGGGGAGAAGACATGGCAGTTTGCTTCTGCACAGATGTACAGCCTCAAATACCTGATGGGGCACTTCTCTGTCCTCTAGCGTCACTGTGAACTGGAATCAAGTCAGGGAAAACTCTGTCAAGCTATGGCAATGCAAAAACATTAAATCGCCTGAGATTCTGTCATTAATGATTATTTAACAAAATATCCTTCAGTATTGTAAGAATGTATTGAAACATGGGAAGGGAGAATGTACATTTTAAGACCAAGATAACAGAAAACTCCACCCCTCTCTCCACTTGCCTCCCCCCCCAAAAAAAAATTCCTCAAAAGCCAT